TATATATATACGGACGGACAGACAGATAGATATACAGACAGACAGACAGGTAGATAGATATACAGACAGACAGATATACAGACAGACAGATAGATAGATGTACAGACAGACAGACAGATGTACAGACAGACAGACAGACAGATGTACAGACAGACAGACAGACAGACAGATGTACAGACAGACAGACAGATAGATAGATATACAGACAGACAGACAGACAGATAGATATACAGACAGACAGACAGATATACAGACAGACAGATAGATATACAGACAGACAGATAGATATACAGACAGACAGATAGATATACAGACAGACAGACAGACTAAAATTTTACAAGGATTTTTTTTTTTCATTCAACCTTTATTTAGACCGGTAAATCCCATTGAGCCTCGAGGACTCATTTACAAGAGAGACCTGATTTTTTTTTTATAGTCATTCACATCACATGTGGTATGTGAGATGGAACAAAACTATGTACACAGGGTCCCAGTTACATCCAACTAAAATACAAATTGTAAAGAAAAACTTTAGTAAGATCCGAGTCATGAACTAAGAATATACTACATCCACTACATTAAGAATACACTAAGCAATAATGGTACAAAAACAATGCGCCAAAAACAGCAGCACGAACATGAGTCTGTATGAGCAGATGAGAATTAATGAACACAGCAACATGAAGTAATCAGTAATCTACTACTTACTACTTGTACTACTATTCCTACTTCGCAGTTTTTCACTTATCGCGAGGCTTTAGGGTACGGATCCCCCGCAATAAACGAGGGACTACTGTACTGTCAAATGTAGTCATTCATTGCTGATTTACTGTATTTTCTGTGTGCACAGAAGTCTGTACATTTAAAATGTGCTTTTCATCCTGTAGATGCATCGTTATGTTTCTCATCTTTTAATGTGACGTTCCTTTTTTTTTTATTTACTCGCAGGTCACTTCCCAAACAAAGCCCTGCCATCAGTAGGCACCCTGCCCTGGATTCAGAGCATCGTCTGCAACATCAACAATCCCTGTTTCCACGAACAAATGCCGGGAGAAACACCGGGACAAGTTGGCAACTTTGACAACTCCTTGTAGGTGGAATAGAGAAAGAATTAATGTTTAAAGACAGGAGAGCTGGAGTTAATTTGAGGTGCATTGCTTGGAGAACAAACTAAGGATCAGAAAATGTTATGCTTTATATGTTTGGAGTACTATTATTGACCTTGGTTTGGGTTTTTTATTTAATTTTTAAATGTAAAAAAAAAAAGGTTTTCTTATCTTCCAACCAGCTACATTTTGTACTTTACACAAATTAACTTGTAAATTCATCACACTCCATGCTTATGTTTATTTAATCTCTTTATAGTTTTTAAAAATTAAGATTACCCTATTATTATCAGATAATGACGCATCTAAGTCAGCCTGGAATAGTTTCTTGGATTGAACCATTTTAATTTTGAGGTTTTACGGATACTTTGTAAACAGTTAATGGTGTTTTGAAAAGAAAATAGTTCATTTGTGAAGTGTGTCAACAGCAGCGCTTGAATATGATTGAAATGAACACATCTGTAAAAAAAACTCTTGTCTTGTGTCTCTCCTGCAGATTGTCTCGTATTTTCTTGGATGCTCAGTCTCTTCTATCCTACAGTGGAAACCAGAGTTTCTCTTCCATTCAGGACCTGATGCAGAGTGTTAAACTGCTGGAAGAAAGACTCAGATTATTACCAAGTACTTGTTTCAATTTTATTTTTATCTGCACCAACCTGTGAAATTTAATCTCAAAGGGGGGAATTGGCAAAAGGTTGTATTTATCCATCCATCCATCCATTATCCTCCGCTTGTTCTGGAGTCAGGGCAGCAGCTCAAGTACGGCAGATTTACTTAATTAAAAATAAAAATTATTCTGCCTAAAACCATAAGTGGGAACTGTAATTGTAACACTTTAGTTAGTTTTGCTATGTTTGTATAAAAAAGCCACATGGTGTCGGTTTAGCTTCGCCTTGTTGAGGACAGATTAAATTACACCAGCTTTCTTGACAAACATCATGTCCCCAGGAGCTGAAATCATCCCAATATACTGATACCATGAAGAGGATTATTTAAGTCACAGAAAAAGGAGAAAATGGTTGTTTTAATCCTCGTAGCTGTGGCTTTGACGCTACATATTCAATGCTGGCCTAATTAATGCCTACAAGAGAGCACTTCAGCAAAGCCTTTGTCTTTGACTGCCAGATAAAGTCCTACACAGTGCCAGTCAAGCGTTCAGAACCACCTCCCCATTAATTTTGAATGGGGTTGCTTTTATAACGCCACTGCAGTTTTGTGCCTGACGATACAAAATCCAACAGACCATTTCTGCTCCCAAAGCAGCTGTAGGTCCTTTCATTCTTCACTGTTTTGGATTCTTTGCTCCAGATGAAAACATGTTCACAGACATTATTATCCATGTAATATCCTTATTCAGCGGTGATTTAAATGTATCATTGGCAAAGAAAACTTTGTCATTTAGGCAAAAAGATGAAAATGGTCCTTTCTGTGTGTAATCTTAACGGCAGTTTGTTGTCGTTTCATTCTACAACGTGTCTTCTTTTATGGAGAATATTGGGTTTTCGTTGTGTAATGGACTTTTCTTCTTGCTGTTTCCATTGTAGCTCTTCAAGTTAAAGAATGCCTGAGACCCAATGAGACTTTCTCCAACTTTCTCTTGACCAACTGCAGCCTGTCGTCTTCAACCGTGGACCAGCTGATGAATGCTCATCTGAATACTCAGGTTTAACGCCTTATGTGTCTGACTCAGTATCTACTTGTGAGTGTTTGGACACATTAAACCCACATGTGAGAGCGCACCACGATTAAAGTCCCCTTCTGTCAACTAAATGCATCTACTGCAGTTTCATGGAATACTATGAACTAAATTGCCCTTTTTTTTCTGATAGCTTCTGGTTCATGTTTCATGCAAATTAGTTTTGTTTGTTGTGAATCAATGCTCCAGCTCTCTGACATCAACGTTGTTCGTTCCAGGCCGTATTGGCAGGAGTCCGGATTCCACTAAAAGTCTTGGTGTGCAACACAAGTATGTTGGAACAGCTTCTGATAGTGGACAGAGGAGCAACCAACATGACAGTTCTTCATACTGAGCTGTGTGAGCTACCAGCTGATGTCCTGCAGGAGGTTGAGCGTCATTTTTTCTCTCAGCTTGACCTGACCAAACTCCTCACGGTAAGTGCTGTTACCAAAAATACCAAGGACTTGCAATACGTACACTTTTTGTGGAAAGCCGTAGTTCTTAATACAGTAGTCCCTCGTTTATCGTGGGGGATCTGTAACCTGAAGCTCTGTGATAAGTGAAAAACCGCAAAGTAGAGATAGTAGTACAAATAGTAAGTACTAGTTTATTTTAGTATTTAAATATATATATATATGAAGGCATTTTAAACCCTTCCCACACTCTTGTAATATTCTAAACAATGTTTCTAAACTCTAAAGCTCTAAAAGAGCACAGAATGTCATGATTTCAGCTCCCTGCCTCCTCTGCTCTTTGAGACCTGCAAGCGTTCTTGGCCACGCCCACTTCTCCGCTCTGCACAGAGAACAGCTGATCAGCTGTAGCAGGAAGTTTATCCTGCAGTGAGTGTGGGCTTCACAAAGGTGCAGGAGGTGTTAAATAATTTATTTTAAAAAAAAATTCCATGCCGATAATTCAGCTCATCCATCACTCAGCCAATTGTGGGTCATGTCCACTCTTATTTTGAAAAACCGCGATAGAGCGAGTCCATGATAAACAAACCCCGAATTAGCGAGGGACTACTGTAATTTAAAAAAAAAGCTCCTTTAGGTTGGGGGAGGAGTCTTTTTTTCAAGTGTATGGATTGGGAGGTGGAGCAATGGATCGGGACCTCGTCCAAAGTAATGAGGATGTTGCTCTGGTCTGAAGGCTGAAATCTGAAGCAATCGACTACCTGCTACATCTGCGTTCCAACACAGCTATGGTCCTGAGGTGGATCATGAACAAAAGAACGAGATCCAGAATAAAAGTTACTGAAATGAGCTTCCTCTCTAGAGTGACACACAAGCATCCATTGTTCACTCATTTTAAATTTGATGAAACTCTTCTCCCTGACAGAGAAATCTTCTGCTGACCAACACTGAAGAGCTCAGGGCCATCACTCAGGCTGTCACCTCAGTTTCCGAGGCGCTCTCTGTAATCATAAATGATGTGAGGATTAATTTTTTTCTGTGACAATATTATTTTAATAGATATTTTTTTCTAAGCAGCTGCACTGTAGCTCTTTTAAGTCTGAGGTACAAATTAGAGCAACTCTTTGTGGTTGCTAGGCCCACGTACTTCATTGTTTTCTTGTTGTTTCTTACAAACTTATCTGTATGTTTTGACTCATAATCCACCATTTTTTTCCACCCTTCCTTGCTTTTCTTTTGTTTTTCCTCTTACTTCTCTGCCTTCCATTAGTTTTCCTCCCTCTCCAGTTTTGCAGAGTTCAATGCAGCTCTAAGTGTTCTGTCTTCTGAAGATAGCAGAGCGACGCCCAGAGAAAGTTTTAGAGTATTTTCCAGGATCATGTGCGGTCACTCTGAGAACAGAGGCGAGCGCATCCCCTCGCTCAACTGGTATGAAGAAGACACCATCAAGTCTTTCTTAGGCAGAGACGGCACCGAGGATGTGCAGTTGGACAATGACAACAACACAAGTAAGGGGCTTTGCTGATAACTTTGAATGAATATGTTGATACTTTGTCTGGCAGTGTGATTTTATTTATTTATTTATTGTATGTGAACACATAATTACAATGGAATCAATGTTTCGACACTTCCATCCATCCATACATCTATTATCTTTTACCCGCTTCTTCCTTTTTGGATCGCGGGGGTCACTGGTGTCTATGTCCAGCAGTCACTGTGCGAGAGGCGAGGAACACCGTGAACAGGTCCAAGTCCATCACAGGGACACACAGAGACAAACGAGACAAACAACCATTCACTCTCGCTCACGCCTAGAGACAATTTAGAGTTACCAGTCAGCCTAACATGCATGTTTCTGGTCTGTGGGAGGAAACCGGAGTACTCGGAGAAAACCCACGCATGCACGGAGAGAACATGCAAACTCCACCCAGAAAGGCCCCCTGCCAGGATTTGAACCAGAGCAACCTGCTCACTGAGGAGCAGCAGCTCTACCAGTCGTGCCACCGTGCCGCCCGTATCAACACTTGAAAATGTATATTTATTTGTGGGCAGAACACCAAAGTTTTTTGATGTTTTGTTTTATGCTATGTCAAAGTCAAAGTTTCTTTATTTGTCATGCGCATCACATGTGGTACATGTGGTGGAACGAAATTGTGTACAAAGGGTCCCAGTTACATACAGGGTCCCAGTTACATCCAACAAAAGTATCAAATGTAAAAGAAAAACAGTAATAAGATCTGAGATATGAACTAAGAAAAACTTTAAGCTAAAAATACGTTAAACATTAATAGCACATAAACAGTACGCCGAGCAGCGGACGAACATGAGTTTGTGTGAGTAGATGAGTACGAATGAACTCAGAAGCATGAGATCAGCAGCATGGATAATCAGCAGCACATGTCAACAATCAAGTAGCATTACAGTGATTATTATTTTACAGTGATTTTCCTGGTTAGGGATTCATTAGTGTAACTAACAGCATCAGGGTAGAAGATGTTCCTCAGTCTATTGGTTTTACGCTTAATGCTCTTCAGCCTCCTGCCTGAGGGGAGTGGGGCAAAAAGTGTGTGTGCTGGGTGAGTGAGGTCCTTCATGATGCATGGAAAATCTATGGAAAGGTTTTTGAAATGTCATGATGCACCCCATGGATCTTGTAGGAAATTGAATTGCTTAATCAACATACCTAAAAAAAATTAATAATAATAATATGGGGGAGTGGTGGCACAGAGGTTAAAGAAGGTGAACCTGTGATTGGAAAGTCGGCGTTCGATTCCCTAGACCGACAACATAAAAAAGTATGTTGTTGGGAAAAGTGAAGCACCCACAGCTGTCTCCACCTTCATTCGCCCCACTCTGGGCCCTTGAGCAATGCCCTCCACCCCACCATCTGCTCTCCCAGGTGCCCTAGATGTCAGCTCTCTGCTCCACACAGAGGGATGTGGTAGGTCGGTGGTCTGTGGTTGTTTCAGGAAGGACATCCGGCGTAAAAACAATCGCCAAGTCTTTGTGCGAGTTAGTTCTTTGTGGTGACCCCTGAAGAAGGGAGAAGCTGAAAGAAGAATATATAAATAAGAAGATTTTTTTCTCATTATGTCAGCTGTTAGTGTCTCAGAACAACTTTCTACATCAGTGATTCTCAACTGGCAGCCTTTGGGCCATATACAGCTCGCAAGCACTCTCCATTTAGTCTGCGAAGTATTAAAATGTTAAATTCACTACACACAGTCTGGTAACTCATTTGGTTGTACCTCATCTTAAGACTCTTTTAGAGAACAGTTCTGGGGAATGATCTCTGTCACAGTTGGTGGAGATTTAGGACCCAGAAATCAGACTGCACACCAGGAACTTCAAGAAAACAAAGGAATTTATTACAGTAAAGCAAAGGGCTGATGAGGCAGGAAAAAACAACTCACTGGACTGTCTCTGTCATGTGACCAACAATGCAGAACTGATTTGAATGAGGTGAAAGACAGGTGATGTAATAGTGAAACCTGCGCTCAATGCAAAAACAGGAACAGGTGAGAGTTGGCGAGGCAGACTGAACTGCAGGAGCTGAACTGATGATCGGACAAACACAAGTAACAAAACACAGAAAACTAAAACAGGATGAGGCCCAACTCAAAAGCTGAGCAGTAAAAGGATGGACAGCTAGCTTTAGAAGTGCTAAAACAACAGAGATCTGGAATCATGGATTTGAAATTTTGCCAGACTTGGCTAAATATTGTAGTAGAGTTTTCTTTATCAAAATAATTTTCCATTATCTTAGTTAACATTTATGATTTTTTTAATATGTTTTCACATTTACCATTACCAAACAGTGAAAATTAAAAGCACATCTAAAACTTGAAAAAGAAAAGTGGGGAAACTATCTTGGAGCTTGTAAAGTACCATTCATTTCTACCAGCAGAAAATGTGATTTAAAAAAGAATGACTGACTAATTACTGGAAACTTGGCTAATTGAAGACTGGTCCTCACAGTCACAGCTTAATAAAGTTCTGGTCCTTGAGCAGGTTTAGTTTAAAACTCATGTTCTACATAAATCTTTGAAATAAATCCTCTGGCATGTTGGAAAATCTTTATGACAGAAAAAAAAGTGCCAACGGTCCCGAGTAGAATCACATCTCAGTTGTGTCATGTGAGCTTGTCTACAATTTGTCCTGTTTTCCCTTTTTTTTCCTCTTCTACAGCTCCTTTTTGTAGAAATCTGATCCAAACTCTGGAGTCCAACCCTCTGTCTCGCATTGTGTGGCGAGGAATCAAACCGCTGTTCAAAGGAAAACTGCTGTACACGCCAGACACTCCTGTGGTACGACAAGTCATGAAGGAGGTACAACAAGCACCGATAGACACCCTCTCTTCTGTTTTTATCAGACGTTTTGCTTTGAGTAAATATGCAATCAGTTAATTGGTAAATTTTTATTCACAAGTGACACAAAGGAGCTGGCGACCCTTTAACATTACCGTATTTTTCGCACTATAAGGCGCAATATCAATGAACGGGTCTGTTTTCATACATAAGGTGCACCGGATTATAAGGCTCACTGTCAAATTTTGAGAAAATGAAAGGGTTTTAAGTGCGCCTTATAGTCCAAAAAATATGGTAACACAAGCTGGATAATTTGGCTGAAATGTTTAAACCAAATGTATTTCTTTTGAAATCTCTTTACTGTGGAGGACAAATATGTTTAGTCATTCAGTGTAAGTTTGAACTAAAATGAAGTTGTGTCTGCTGAAGTTGAACAGGACATTTGAAGACCTGCAGATTCTTCAGGATCTTCATGACACTTGGTTGGAGGTGGGACCACAAATCAAGAACTTCATGGAGACCAATGTGGAGCTCAAACTGCTGCAGGTGGGATTCACCTGCTCCTCTTGTTCTACATGATAGAAGAGTGTGTTACGACGCAGTTGATGTTAGATAAGCTGTTTTCAATTTAAAGAACAATCAACTTGTTTTTTTGTGGGTGTTAAACAGGATATGTTGAGGCGTCCAGAGATTGCAGTTCTGATTAATATGCGTTTGGAAAACACAACCTGGACGGCCTCACAGATTGCTCGTTTCCTATCAACACCCTCGCCAGACAACACGAGTCGGCCGGGAGCCTCACCTACGTGGAAGGATGTCTACGACAACATTGGAAACATTATCACCATTCTGTCACATGTCACCAAGGTTCCTCATCTTTGTTACTGTATGTTCCTAACTATAAAGCGCACCGGATTATAAAGCGCATTAAGCCAAACAAAACAGTCAGATAAGTCAAACTTTATTCAACTCATTCACAGTAACGCTCAACATCGTTCAGTTGTAACACATAAAATACAAAACAATACACTCACTTTTTCAGTTCATTCCTCTTCCACAAATCCATGAAATATAATAATAATAATAATAATAATAAAATTGGTTCGAGGTCAGTAAGCACAACCAGAATTAATACATAAGGCACACCAGATTATAAGGCTCACTGTGGATTTTTGAGATTTTAAGTGCGCCTTATAGTCCAAAAATACGATAATTTATAGACAAACCATCAGCTTAGTTGGCAAAGTGCAGCACATTTAAGTAGTTAAGTTTTTCCTATTGTAGGTTTACATATTTATTTCTCTACATCTTTTTGTTATTGTTGTTTACGATCTTTCCCTCTTCCTCAGTGCTTCAATCTGGACAAACTGGAGGGGATGGAGACGGAGGATCAGCTGATCAATCGAGCGCTGGAGCTGCTGGAAGACCGACAGTTCTGGGCTGGTGTGGTTTTCCAGCTTCCCAACACATCCTCATCAGAGCTTCCTCCCTATGTTACCTACAAGATCCGGATGGACATTGACGATGTGACTCGGACCAACAAGCTCAAGGACAAGTACTGTGGATTCTTCATTTGTCTCGATGATTCATTTTTGTTTCATTTAATTAAAAAGCTACAATGTTTTTTGTTAAAGCATATTCATTCAACCTTTATTTAGACAGGTTATCTTTTTGTTTGTTGTGTCAGCTATGTTTTAAATATTAATTTAATCTCTGTGACTCAAAAACATTCAGCTTTAAAACATTTTGACATGAATGAACATGCTGCAGTGCAGTGATTTACATTTATTTAAAAAAAAAAAATCCTAAATACGTTCTACAGACTGGTATTGTAACAAGCTAATGCTTTAACTAATGCTTGTTTTACAGGTTTTGGGATCCGGGTCCATCTGCAGACCCATTCAATGACATGCGCTACGTTTGGGGCGGGTTCGTTTATGTTCAGGACCTGGTGGAGAAAGCTGTGAACTACGTGCTAACTGGGGTTAAACAGACCACCGGTATCTACATCCAGCAGATGCCTTACCCGTGTTATGTGGACGATATGTGAGTTAGACTCTAGCTCTTATTTTAAGCTTTGTTCAATCTGCTCTTGCACTGAGTTTTATTATATGATCTTATGACATGAAACAATACTAACACTCGGGATTCATTCGGTTTACTGTTTCTAGTTATCAGGAGAAAGACGCAGAGAAGCTCAGCTTTAATGAAAGTAAATAAAAGTTCTAGTGTTTTATGTGTTTTTTGTTGTCGTTCAATTCACAAATACACAAAATTTCTTCACTTATTTTTCTTTGAATGAGGAGAAATAAACCCAAACAAATAAAAACTAATAGCTGTAGGATTTGATCATTAGAATATTTAGACAAAAACCCTGATTTCTTTCATGTGTGATGTGGAGACTTTTTAAAAGTAAAAGCTGAGTGGTATTTGTGTGATACAAAACGTGGAACTTCTCGTCGTTTGTCTAAATTCAGAGGCTTCGGTCGGTCAAAACAAACTTTATGTCCATCTCCTTTATGTCACCTGCAATGCAACACTGAACAAGACATTTCAAATGTGCTGAAAAGTAAAGCATCTGCAGAGCAAAAGTAAGAGAAGGCCTAAACATGAAGCGATTTTGAAGCACTGTTTTATGTACAGTAAGTAAAAGTGTTGTCAACATTCTCCAGCTGTCTTCAGTATTTCATCAAATCGTACCTTCCGCTCATAAATTCAGTTTTTGGTTTCCTCTAACAGTTTTCTTCGCATGCTGAACCGCTCCATGCCTCTCTTCATGATTTTGGCCTGGATTTACTCGGTGGCCATGATCATCAAAGGTGTGGTTTATGAGAAGGAGATGAGGCTGAAGGAAACCATGAGGATCATGGGGCTCGGTACAGGAACACTGTGGCTCAGCTGGTTCATCAGCAGCTTAGTTCCTTTCTTGATTTCTGCCACCCTTCTTATCGGTCTGCTTCAGGTAAGATGGCCTCTTTTTCTGTTCCAAACGAGCATAAATTTACTCTGAACTACAACAAAACCTGCTGGGTCTGTCATCATTACACAGTTTATCAATTAATAAGCTAGAGTTGGATTTCAGTTGGCACCTTATATGAATTAATCAACAGCATATAAAATTGCGTATTAACTTTAATTATCTGTTAAAAACATCTAATAATTATTATTCTGAACTCTAACCTACTAACAATGCTTATTATTTTAATTATTATTAATTAACTGTTACAAAAATATCATTTCAAAATAGAAACAGATTCAAAATAAATTAAAAAAACTTTATATTTACAAACACTTTGTTACATTAAAACAATTTAAAAAAAATTGTGAGGCAGGAAACTTTTGTTTTATTGCATTAGAGGGCCTAAAATGAGCAGAGCTTAATAGCATATGCATCGTTAATAAAATGTAAACTTTTTAAATAGGTAGTTAAAATAATGACCTAATGGGTAACTAGTTAATGGTTAGTTTTAGAGATGCATGATATTGGATTTTTGGCTGATATCTGTTATATGTTAAAACTTATTTGGCCGATAACCGATACCAGTACCAATATTTATTTTTTCCTAGACCTACTTACAGAGACATCGCTTTCTCTGCTGTGGAATTAAAACACTACATTATTCTGCATGATCTTTGTCAATTTGGCCTGCTACCAAATGCAGGTGTCAAAAAGGGGGCTGAAAATGATGTAACACTTCAACTTGGATTATGCTTAATGTTAAATTTTTTCATGACATTTACTCTCTGTAACACAATGACAACACTCGAACAGGGCAAATTTGTAAATTTTCACAAATAACTCAACCTGTTCACATCGGTGAGTTATTTTGATGGAATGGCCGATGTCCGATAGTTAACTTTATCACTAATATCGACCGATACCAAACTGATAATATTGTGCATCCCTAGTTAGTGTATGTACTCTAACGATAACTTGTTATTGGATTTTTTAAATTAAAACAGAAGTAACGGTGTTAAAGTGTTTTGTATGGTCAGAAAAGCTACACCATTTATCTGCTGTTTTAAAACTCTCCGCTACTAATAACATTTTTTTTCTGTTTTTCTAGTGGGGTGATATATTACCATACAGCAACCCAGTTGTTGTCTTCTTCTTCCTCTTGGCATTTGCCACCGCCACCATCATGCAGTGTTTCCTCATCAGTACCTTCTTCTCGAAGGCCAACCTGGCTGCTGCCTGCGGAGGCCTCATTTACTTCAGCCTCTATCTGCCTTATGTGCTGTGTGGCGCCTGGAGAGACTACCTCAATTCAACACACAGAATCTTAGCAGTTAGGAAGTTTAATTTATTCGTATAAATAACTAAATTTGCTACCTTTTCCCCATCTTAAATATCCATGTGAAAACATAATTAAAGTTATGGGTGATGGACTAACAGCATGAAATGTTTTATTTCTGCCAGAGTTTCCTGTCTCCTGTGGCCTTTGGTTTTGGGTGTGAGTATTTCGCTAAGTATGAGGAGCAAGGCATTGGTATGCAGTGGTTCAACCTGCGGCTCAGCCCCGAGGAGGGAGACGCCTGTAGCTTCGCCACCTCTATAATCATGCTTTATGTGGATGCCTTCATCTACGCTGTTGCAGCCTGGTACATCGAAGCAGTTTTTCCTGGTATGATTTTATTTATGTCATGTTTATGTAATAAGATGTTTTAACTGCAAAATGCAACAAAGAAATTCTGTCAAAAATTACAAATACAGTGAGTATAAAATTTGTGTGTATCTTTGAAGTCATTGGTATTTTGAAAATGAAATCCCTCATTATCATCAGTTTTCTAGAAAACATCTGAAGATTTCAGGCCAAAATAGACAGTTCGAGCTAAAATAGGACACCCCATAGCATGATGCTGCCACCACTATGTTTCACTGTGAGAATCCTGTTCTTTTGGGATTTCTCTTTCTTGTTCCTGGCCCAAACTTACCTTTTGGATTTCTGGCTGAAAAGCTCAACTATGAGTTCATCAGACCATAACACATTTTCCCACATGCTTTTGGGAGGCCTAACCTATTTTTGGGGATATTCATTCAAGCCTGCATGTTTTTTTTTTCATTCAACCTTTATTTAAACAGATAAATCACATTGAGCCCAAAGACTCATTTACAAGTGAGACCTGTTTGGACAGACAAAAATAGTGGTTAACTGGACACATGTAGGAGTTGGAGATGAAAAAAATTCCTATCAGACTTTTTTTTCTTGCCTGAGAATAAAAAAAACTAATAATAAAAAAACACCTTGCACAAACAAGCACATATTTACGTAGACAATCTGCAGGCGGTGGAGACGAGAGCAGTCAGCAATGTTCATAGATGCTCTCGAGGTCACTGTAAGCATTCTGATATGGATGGAATAATCAGTCAATGTCCTCCGGTGAGATCCATAAACATTCTCGAGGTATGTTGAGGAATGGCCAAGAATCACGTCTATGAGAATCCAAGAGTCCTGAAATGATGACACAAGTTTATTCAGCTGGTTTCATCTGGTTATCAGTTGGAAATTCCTCAGGGAGGGGGTGGTGAGCGTCAGATCACATGTTCTCCAGGCGAATTCAGATAAGAGGCCTTCAAGGCCAGCCAGGGGAGCCAAATTCAGATAAACACACAGTTGTTTTGGGGACAGGCAGAACTTAATGACATCTACCTTGAGTCTGTGTTGGTCGACTCAGTTCCGAAATAACATGGCCACACCGATGGAACGTGACTGAGTAACATCCCCAAGATCTGATCCATTCAGCCCAAAGCATTTGAGTCTGGGCACTCGAGACACGAACCAAGCCATCATAAAGGCAAGCAGCGTGATCGGGTCCAAATTTTCTGCCGACGACTTCCTTGATTTTAGATAAAACCAGCAACCAGCCGAATCCAAAAAGCAGGAACCAGTTATCGTAAATCCAATTAAATATGCGTCCTTAAAATCCACAGATGGCAGCAGAGATAGACACATCATCAAGTCTTCAAGTCGATGAGATATCCAGCTGCGTGAGTGCCAACAGGGCAAATCGGCTCGCCTAAAGCCTGTCTTCTCTCGAAGAAATGTTATCAATTGTGTTGAGGGACCAACTGATCAAAACAAGTCCATAATTATGGTTCAGAAGATATGTTTATTTATATAAGAACAAGTTTGATTTTGCAGCTCTGCCACACAGTCCAGACATATTATAATACAGTTTGTTGTCACAACTTGTCAGAAATTCTTGCAGCTGTGTTGCTGTAGAGCTCCCGGCAGACTTTTTGACCTGTTTTCGTCTCAGCTTTTCTTTATTTTTTTTGAGGAATGTCCACTTTTCAATGTTGTTGTTCAATATTTCTTTCAATTGAAGGCCAGCGTTCTAATTAAATCAAAAGGTGCTTCTACATATAAAGCTGAGATGGTGTACTTTTATGCAACTATCCTATTGCACCCTTTAATGTAAAAAGAAATGCTGAAATAAGTTTGTTAGTGTGACGTCACAACAACCTGGCAACGCCCAACATTTTTCTTTTGTTGTGTGAAGTTCACGAGTTTGTTTCTTTACAACAGGTGAATATGGGATCCCTAAACCCTGGTACTTCATCTTCCAAATCAACTATTGGGGTGGAGTCCCTCTGGAGGCGGGCATGCCAATCCCACAGGCACCCACAGACCAAAATGAAGGTACAAGACATTGCATGTTTTATTATGTCAGTCTTTTAAGGAATGATCAGATCTACGGTTTCAGTTCATTCAACTTTTCTATGGAGTCAATTTATTACAAGTGATTTAAATTGACTTATTTATTGAGCTGTTAGATCAAGAAAATTCCAGTCATGAATACTTGAAAAGGAGTAAAAAAAAAACTCATAACAGAACGTCTTCAGTTTTGCTACTCTTGCTACTTAAAAGATTGTACTGGCAGCTTTATAAGCTAAAAATTTATAACAAAATTATGGCAAACTGAGACAATAAATCCAATCTGCCAAACTTAAAAAAAAAACATGACGACCAAGATGAAAGCATATATTGTAGCCTTTTTTTGTCAACGCATTAGTTTTCCCATTGATTTAGAGATCGGAATCTTGTTTATTTCAAACTTTATTCATATCTTGTGCAGATTTTGTTTAAGTTAGATGAATAAATATCCCCAAAGGAGTATCAGTTTTATGCTTAAAGTATTTATATTATCTGTTTATGTCCTTAATTAGACCACATTGAACCAGAGCCCACTAGTCTGAACCTCGGTGTGAACATCAGAAATTTGGTGAAAATCTACAAGAAAGGGGGGAAACTTGCCGTCAACTATCTTAATCTGAAGTTTTACGAGGGCCAGATCACCTCTTTCCTCGGACACAATGGGGCCGGCAAAACCACCACCATGTAAGAGTCGTGCATCGATCGCATCTGGGTTGTATGAACTCATGATTTCTGTGTGAAAGCAAAGAGGTTACATTTCATGTTTTTGATGTTTGTCAGATCCGTCCTGACTGGCCTCTTCCCTCCAACCTCTGGGACCGTGTACATCAAGGGCATGGACATCCGCTATGATATGGACATCATCAGAAGGACACTGGGGGTTTGTCCACAGCACAATGTCCTGTTTGACATGTAAGCATCAAATTCTTTGTGAAAAACCACAATTGTGCACCTTGTTTTGTTAAAGAATTAGTGTAAAGGTAAAATAACTGGTTTACCTTTCTGGCCTCATAAAGCCTAAATGAAAAGGTTTTTTTCTACCAGTAGTTTGATTGATCAAAGGATGAAGTCAAATCAGTTAAAAATTGTTAAAAATTATTCAAACATTTTGGTCTGGTTCAGAGTTGGAACCACTGAATTCTAGAATTGCGCCGCTCAAGGTGGCTGCATGTTGGAGCAGCTCTGTTACTTTCAGTCTGAGATTTTGCTTTTGGAAACTTTAATTCCTCTTTTTCTGATGTAAATCACATTTTTTTGGATGATTGTTTCCTCTGGTATCAGATGCTGTGCAGCTGGAAGTATTTTTACTGAAACTTTTTTTAGTTTTGGACATTTGTTATGATGCGTAACCATGGCAACAAGGCAGTTTTCTACAACCAACAGCAGCTGATTAACATCTCAAAAGCTCAAATAATATCTCAACTACAGCCCCAAATATCAACTGAGTTGAAAAGGATGTTCAGTGGATGCATTCTCATCTACCTGCCAACTGTGCTTGAGTGCCTGACCACTGAGATTCTGGAACTAGCAGGAAACACGGCTCATGACAGCGGAAGGACAGGATCGTCCCTCAGCACCTAAAGTTAGCTGTCCGCAGCAATGAGGAGCTCGGCAGACTGCTGGGAGGAGTGGCCATCGCTCTGGGAGGAGTTCTGCCCGGCATTCAGGCGGTCCTACAGCCCAGGGGAACTGAGAGGCCAGCCGAGTCTGGGTGGACGGATCGAACGGCATCTGCAGCCAGTTTCTTAGGATCCACTGTGGGATTACAAGAGATCCTTCCTGACTACATCCATCAGTATCTATAACATTTCTTAATGAAATGAGAATAACGAGTTACAACAACAAATAATTTCCCTTTGGGATTAATAAAGTATTTTTGAATTGAATTTCCAGTGCTGCCAAAAGTAACTTGAGAATTCTAGCCAGCATTTATGACTTAAAGACCACGATGCTTCACATCAAGTCAACACGTTTTATCACGTCAACGTCACCTTTAAAACAGTGAAGTTCAACAAGTTGAACACAGTGACTTCAATAAATGCACCAACTAAACAATCAACCGTCCTTCGCCTTAAAAAATCCTTTACATAGCTGAAATGGGAAAAAAGAAAACAAATACAAAGAGGTACTGAAATGCTTATACCGTACTTGCCGCCGTACACATCGCACCACCGTATAAGTCGCAGCAGTTCAAAAATGTCTAATAAAGTGGAAAAAAAAACAGAAATAAGTTGCATCTCAGTTGAACTTTTCCTTAATAAATGCACTTTAACGGTCAAATCAGCTGCGTTTCAAAAATCGATTTGTGGCTGCAGGAGCACGCAGAGGGAGGACTCGCTGTGCATTTCTTCAAAATTTAACCAGATAACCACCCAAAAACAATTATATGTTTGCTCAACATTATAGCAAAGGTGCGTCTCAGTTGAACTTTTTCTTAATAAATGCACTTTAATGGTCAAATCAGCTGCATTTCGCCTGGGGGGTGCGCGGCAAAATACAGCTGATTTGACGTTTTCTCTAGGAGTTCCGGAGCGAGACGAAGGTGGCTTTGTATGGCAAGCCAAGTGTCTCATTAATAGCCACTTTTACCTATTAATGAGACACTTGGCTTGCCACATTAGTCGAGGGCCCTCTAGCGGCTGAAAATGGTAGTGCTCAAAATTTTCCATGTCGGAATGAATGAAATCATCAGATTTCAGCTAAAAATTGGGTTATAAATATGGAGGGGGAAGTATATTAGTCGCTTTGGTGTATTAGTCGTAGGACTTGCAAATTTATGCAAAAAGGTGTGACTTATATGGCAAATATACGGTACTTATCACAAAACAAAAGTAAGGAAAAAGGTGATACTGTATATTTGGTCAAAATAATCTCATAATTGTATCAGGACTAGCCCGTGAAGGCACCCGGACTCCGTTTCTTGTTTCTTAAAGATGTTTTAAGCTCTCAACTTATAGAGGTAATAAAGGTTGACCAGTTATCTTCTATTTCACCAACTTTAATACACAAGTCCAGGTTTGCTTAGTTTGTAGAACAATACATTATATACCACATAATTTATTTGCATATGGATCTGTGTACGTTTGTAAATGAGAGTTTAGAGATTTTATTATTAATGTATGTTAAAAGGGGAAAAAAGGTCCTGTTAATAAATACTAAATATTGATGAAAAATGTTTTGATATATTTAGAGGATTATTTTTTATTTTCCCAGACCTTTTAATTTTCTCGGCCTTGCTTTTTCCATCAGGCTCACAGTGGAGGAGCATGTGTGGTTCTATGGATGCCTGAAGGGCTTGTCTGAAGCAAAGGTGAAGGCTGAACTTGGCACTTTGCTTGAGGACGTGGACCTATTACACAAACGGCACGAACTGACCAAAAACCTCTCTGGTAAAGTCACAAATTTTTATTTATTTATTTATAAGTTTATTCTTTTTTTTTAAACAAAACAATTCTATATACAATAAGAAATACAATCACAAATAAACTGAAAGGCAGCAGAAAGAAGAAAAAATCTTATATCTGCCCCTTTTTACCAAACAATTTATTCAAACAATAATTTGCCTTCAGTGTGCAAAAAAAAGTTTGCATTTAATTGTTTGTTTTTTAATGAAACTTTTCTGTCTGTCAGGTGGCATGCAGAGAAAGCTGTCTGTGGCGATAGCGTTTGTTGGGGGCTCAAAAGTAGTTGTTCTGGATGAACCCACTGCCGGTGTCGACCCTTACTCCCGCAGAGGGATCTGGGATCTGTTGCTTAAGTACCGTCAAGGTGACGTAGCGCTGTGAATCTCGTTATATGTGTTGAGTGGTGGGATGAGAGGAGTTTCTTAAAGCTAAAATTACAATTTTATTTATCTTCATTTAAAATTATTCACAAGAGTTTTGTTTTGTGCCATTGTTCCGGATCAGATCGAACCATCATCCTGTCTACTCACTACATGGATGAGGCGGAGCTGTTAGGTGACCGGATCGCCATCATCTCTAAAGGAAAGCTGCGCTGCTGCGGATCCCCACTCTTCCTGAAATCTCGACTGGGATCCGGTTACTACCTGACTGTGGTAAAGAAGGAGGAACTGAGTACCAGCACTCCCAGTAGTTCCAGTATCTGCACCAGCATCAGCACCAACAGGCTGCCTCCTTTAGTTAAGGTTTGATTGTACTTTTACATCATTTCAACACAAAAAAATAATGACTTTTTTTTTTTAGTTGCAGCTTCTTGAGCTCTGCTGTGTGTTTCAGGACAGTGAGTCATCTCTGAGTGAAGACACTGGTCTGGGAAGTGAAGACAATAGCTCCTGTAAGGGTTAAAAGTGTTGGACCTTCTTAAACATGATTGTGTAAAGCGAGAGAATAAGTGTAACATCTGACTCAATATTTTTGTGGCAGACCTGGCAGCTTTGCTCTCTCTGGTGCAGCAACACATCCCAGATGGGAAGTTAGTGGAGGAATCTAAGAGAGAAGCAGTGATCAACCTGCCACAAACAGCTGCCAAAGATGGCAGCCTGGCTATCTTCCTGTCAAAACTGGACCAGAAGCTTCCTGAGCTGGGCATCAGCAGTTATGGGCTGTCAGACAGCGCACTGGAGGAGGTGAGTAATATGAATCAGAAACAAAAATACCAGTTAATATGAGACCATGACAATATTTACGTTGGTCTGAATTTGCTATAAACAGATTTTAAAGTTATGGAAAAAGGATGTTTGACAAAATATTTTCCTAGAAAACTATGCTGATATTGCAGTCAAAAGAGAATGTTAATGTCAATGGTAAAAAGGGCCATATGACATAAAATACAATGATATTTTTCCCCTTTTAAAATGGCAAACAAACTGGCTTCATGTAGCTTGTATATGTTTGCAACACAGACAGAAACATCAATATGTTACAATTTCACAGAGAAGTACAGTAGTCCCTCGTTTATCGAGGGGGATCCGTACCCTGAAGCCTCACGATAAGTGAAAAAACGCAAAGTAGGAATAGTAGTACAAGTAGTAGTTTATTTTAGTGTATATATATATATATATATATATACACACATATATATATATACATACACACACACACACACACACACACACACACACACACACACACACACATATATATATATATATATACA